CATTTTATCTACCCATATGTAATGTTTGAGACAAGGCCTGTCTTTGAATACCAACAACCTTGACCCTTTGACCTTGACCCCAGAGTTTGTCCTACCTTTAAAAATGTTTACCTTGGTGATAGCCTTTGAACAGGTAGTGCTAGGGTTTTATATTTCACATTTGTATTTCTTGTAAAAAGGCCTTACATTAGGTACCGACATATTTGATCTGCATTTAAAGGTACTTGGACACAAATTTGAAGTTATTATTTTCTCTATAATATTACGACTTATATATTTTACTAGCATTTCACACAAAAATTAATTAAAAATCTTATTTCGTATAAAAAATATTAAAATTTCAAATTATTTGATTGACACATCCTTGCACTTTCACAAATTTATTTTATTCTTAACCCTTAGGAAAAGTGGCAATGTCGTTGTGTATAAATGAAAAATATTGATACTATAATCCAGAAAATTCAAAGTAGACATGTTCGAAAGCAAAACAAACACACAATGTATTGTCAGTCCGTGCAGAACTTTGTGGTAACCAGATAACCAGACTGTGACGATTGAACGCACCCGGTGAATTGAAAACATCAACAATAAAAGAACTTGTGCTTTGTTTACAAAAACTGTGTACATGACACGAGTGTGCTCGATTTACTAAACTCTGTACGCAACTCTTAGTTCGGAATGACGATACTTGTGAAGGAGTTTTGCTTTCTAACATTTCTACTCTGAATAAAATTATTTTTCTGGAAAAAAGTTTTAATATTTCTCTTTAATACACCACTAGATTGCCACTTTTCCTAAGGATTAAGAAAAAGGTTAAAATTTGTGAAAGTGCAAGGATGTGTCAATCAAACCCGCCAAAAAATTTGAAGTTATAATAACTTTTAAATGAAATAAGTTTTTTAATTATTTTTTGTGTGAAATGCTATTAAAATATATGTCATAATAGTATAGAGAAAATATTGACTTCAAATCTGTGTCCAAGCACGTTTAAAATAAAGCTTAACATTCCCAATGTTGCTATACGGGAGCATCAGTGTTTAGCAAACATATGTTTAATGCTGCATTTGATATTTATCACTATGAAGGGAAAATGTACTCTGTGAGTCATATAAGGAAAGTTTATTGAAATTTTAAGTTCTCAATTTTTCAAATGCAGTAAATTGATTAGAAAAAATAAATTACACATGGAATTTCAAATATTTGTACAATGCTGTAAAACATAGACTTTAAATGTCTTATAAATGATTCTTTCCAAATGTTTTCTACGGAACTAAATTGCTATTTAGTTATCCTTTCGTGATCTCTACCACCATGACGACGCCTGCTCCGATCGCTGCTATCATTCCTATGATGCTGAAGGCGAAAGCAAAGTGGTAATCAAAGTCTACGTAATCATACAAGTCGTTCACTTTGGCTGCATACACTGCTACCGAAATGAGGATAAACACCGCTACAAAAGAAAAGCATAAATTATTTTAAGAAAACGGGGGGGGGGGATCAAAACTATGTTTATTAAGATACATGTATTGCAAGAAATCCTTTGAAAGTGTAAAATTGACATTTTTTTTTTAAATCTTGATATTAAGGATGTTTATTTCTCAGCCAAGAGAAGTAATTTTTGAAATTTTCATGTCTTTGCATGTGTCTCAAAGTGGGAATTAGTTTTAATGATGCCATTAAAAAATACCTTGTATTCTTTTTATGAAATAAAATTGGATCTGTATAATCATGTATTGATACTAGGTGGTTACATTATACAATTTATGTTACTGTAACTCACTTTCTATTCGCGAGAACTTTATTTTCGCGTAATTACAAATAAGGTGTTGCGAAAATTAAGTGATCTACTGTATTATAAAAATTATACCTAAAATATAATTATCAAAACATCCCTTTTTCAAGGACACACCTCCCAACCTTATTAATATTCAGGGTCATGAACCCAAGGGAGCATTCATTGCATCAGATATTTTCTTTAAACAAGGAAAGACAACTCAAGATTTTCTTTAATGGTATAGTCAGTTTCTTTTATCAATTTATATACATTTAAATTGTGATAAAATGGGGGGGGGGGGGGGGGGTTAGAAAAAAGATATTGTGATGTATGCATTATATTTCATTAAGATCACTTCTGGTCAATTATAAGTAAAACATTAACACAGTGTATTTTCAGTATGAAATACTACATAGGTATATGAATGTGTTTACTAACTTTCTGTTTAATAAATAGAGGTAAATTGAGTTTCAAGTATACCTGATTTCACATAAGCTACATATCTGCAGCTACTAGTACATGTAAATAGTTCTGGAAGGTATCTATCTACATAATCATATTCAGTTATAAATGTTTTCTGTTCACTGAATTCAACAAAAATAATTTAAACTGACAAGCACACCATCTATATATCATGACTCATATTGAAAAAAGACAAAGTAAAGAAACAGCGTGCAATCATGTTTTTATTTACAAGAAATTTACTAAGCACTACATGTAGACAGACAATGGAATGTTCAACAGCAAATAAGTTGTATATTACAGGCATATGTTATAATAAAGATTATTTTGTTTAAAAATGAAGTAAAAATTTATAAATCAATATTTAGTTACCCTTCACAAGATCTCCAAATGTTGACTATTTTTAATAAACCAAATTAAGTGCACATTCTAAATTTTTTTTTCCTACTCAAAAAAATTAAAGTTCCATTTTTGAAAGATAATCAACCTTATAATAAAATTCAGAGTAAAAATATTCAAGAGTTTCTTTCTTTACTAATCTGGTTTAAAATACATGTGTAAATACAATATGTAATTCATATATATAGTTCAAGCATGCAATACCAGTGAGAGCTACATGTAGCTATACCTCACTTCTTTTGCAAACATTTTCTATACTGTGATTGAATTAAAAACATCAGTTTTAAGTTATAAATCTTATCTTATCATTTTATAACCTATGAAGTCACCTGCATGGCACAGTAGCAAAAGCATCTGCTCGAGAGTCATGAGTAGGGAGTTGATCCATGTATTGCTGGTTCGAAATCCCACAGTCGGACATAGATGAGACTGTTTATACAGAGGTCCTTTGTTGCAGTAGGTGCTAGTACCAAAAAGATCCCTCATTGCTCAATTAGCCATGTATGCCAGGTAAAGGACAAAGTTTGAAGCTCTCCACCGACAAATGTTGGCATCCCCATATGAGTGAAAATTTCTCAAGAAGAATGTTAAACAACGTACAAATTAACAATAAACTATAGAGTCTTTGAATATGCAAATTCTTTTTTCTGAGAAAGGGATCCTCAAATGATGTTTAGATATAGTTCATATGAGTAGAAAAGTACTGTATCATCCCAGCTAGTCTTCATGAATTCAGGAACAATTTGTTATATGGCCTGAAAAATATAAAATGTTAATGCATTAACACAAAAGTATATGATTGATATTTTTATAATTCATCAAAAGTAATTGAACCAATAAAATAAAGTCACACTTGTTATCTTAAAATGCTCATGGGACTGCTGAAAAAAACAGATATCCAAGAGATTCAGGGTAAGATACATAGAAAAAAATTTCATTCAAGGGACTTTAAAATGACTTTGATATCTCAATGTGTTCAAAATATCACTCAGTGTCAACTGTCAAAGATATATATATCAAAGTTCAACTCTAAACAGAGTAAATAAAATTCATATACATGTATACCATTTACGGTTGCTTATTCAATCTATCATTGTTCATTAATAATCTGCATGAGAAAGAGATATGCACAAAATGATCAAATTAAATTAACAAAAGTAAATAATATATATGCAATTCCAAGTGTTTGCAAATCATTCATCCAATTTGTAATACTGTCATGAACATCAACATACCCTAGGTAGTAAAAGTTTTTTGATTTTAAGATACTGCTGTGTAACTGTACTTATTTAGACTGCACTGTATTCACTTGTTTCCCAACAGTACACATTTTTCACATTATCTGAAATCCATCATTACTATACCATGATGAGAGTTATGCCCCTTTTCTATAACCCCAAAATATTGCTTTCTTTCTGAACCTTACATAGATATCAACTAAAATAGGAATTTAAATTATGAAAACTTATATTTTAATCTATACTTAACTTAAAAGCCAAGAAATAAACAAAATGATTTTCCAATATTTACATAGGACTTTCAAGATAAACATTCTGTTTCTAATTATGGCACATCCATTACCCTTGATTCTGGGATACTGTGCTAGGATGTATTCATTCCAAAAATATGATGTATCGTGGCCCTGACAATCTTGAATAGATTTCATAATAAAAGGCTTCAGCCTTAAATATTTAAGCATTGAATTCATATTTTTGGCTGTCTTCGGTCCTATAACACACCTGGCCGTGCCGACAAATTGAATACACCCTACTCTATAGCTATATGATCTGAACAAATCTAAATTTGCTCTTAACTATCTCAGACTGACTAATAATGACTTGCCTATTCTTGAAAAGAATTCAGATTTTATTTTTTGTCTACGAATTACTATTGTTCTCTCTATTTTATTGCTGTACTCCATATACATCAATAACATATCATCACCAGTAATCAACATACCTTCTCTTTCGACTTGACATCCTTTCCTAGATTCTCATGGTTGAAGCTTTCATCAGATAATTTGTTTTGTTACAGCTGAACTGCAAATATGATTAATAAGTTAATACAATCCTTTACATTAAATTAATCCAAATAAAATACAAGCATTTGCAATAATATGGAAAGAAAACTGAATGAAAAATACTGACAAATATCAATGCACTACATGCAAATCAGAAAAATATTAAATGCAACCATTTACAGTTTGCATAATATGCTGATTATGTATCAGCACAATTTTCAGTTCATTAAATTGTTTGCTGAAACAGACAACCAACTGTATTTATAAATTCTCTTTTAATGGATTTTCTTCTGCCTTTGAACTTACATGTACTATTTTGCAGCATGATAATGTGAGAATTTTTTCACCCATTCTTCATGTTCTTTATTATTAAAGTATCTGCTGAAAATAGAACAGAGTGTGATTAAATCTTTTGAGAATTAAACAAAAACAAAAATCACTGATGCATGATTTTCAATTATATTGACCCTTTCATCTCTCTCTCTCTCTAACTATATATAACTTTACTCAGGATTATTTTATACATGCATTGATATACCTGTACATGTAGATATTGGAGTAATTGGGCATGCTTAATATTATTTATTTATTTATTCCAATCAGCATGATCAGGATGATAATAATTAAAAAATAATGTTGCATATTAAATATGTTATAATTTTATCCTTACATTTACATATACAATACTCACAACAGGCAAACCTTGAATTTGCACATCACTGTCTTAAGAGTATATCCTACAATACACATTCGATCATTGCACATTACAAATGAATTGATTTGATTTTTTTTTTAATGTTTATATTTGCCTTTTTTGTTTTATTTTACTGATATTATAATTTTTGTGCAATTAATACAGTATCATCACTGATTTTTGTTTTATCTGGGATAGTTCTATGTACATGTATAAAAAAATACAATTATAGTTGGGCTACAAATGTAGTAACTTGACAGGCTTGTTTCAAAGTTCTGTCATTTCGGAATCCTGTTTTGTTTAGATTAATTATTTGTCCAGCTGTGTATCACATTAAATAAACAAAATATAACTATTACATTTATCATGATTATTAATATTATTATGGTTTTGGGTCAGTCTATTTTTATCTAGTAGCCTTGGAGTGGGATAGTGATATTATGATGATCTGACCAGTAAAAAGCCTGAGTGAGCAGTGAAAGAAAACTATTTCTAGCCTGGGTCTACAATGATTTCACATTTGTACTTCATTATATACATTTTCTAAATTCAATAATGTTTGTTTATTTAACCTCATAGGGTCAATTGTGTAATTTTTGTCATACCTGTAGATGGCTGTTCAAAATGTACTCTACAGCTGTACCTGCAATAGATAAACAAAAAAGAAAATTACTTTTCATTTTATCAATATGTAAATAAAAAACATGTATTCTTACAAACAAAAACGCAAAACATCAATGTAAATTATCTTTAGCAATATCTTTTCATTACACAGATTGATGCAGGCATGCATGTAATTTATTATACCCCCCGCTTGAAAAGCGGGAGGGTATATTAAGTAATCGGTATGTTTGTCCGTCTGTTATGCTTTGGTGTACCCATCTCTTATCCGCTAATTCCCCTAATACATTATACCACGCACTGAGTGATATTTGATGACTTTCACAGAATCTAATTATTACATATTGCAATTGTGCATAATTCTATTTTACTTTTTGATCTGCCACATATTTGGGGTTTCCCAGGCAATACTTTACACATAGAAATATTCAAAGTTTTCATAAACTGCATATGTGATTGATTGACTGACAAATGTATGCATGTTGTTTAGAATGACCCTCTCGAGAATTTTTCACTCATTTGGAGACACCACCACTTGCCGGTGGAGGGCTACAAATTTTGGGTGAGGGCCCGACCTTTGAGCAGGGAGGAATCTTTTTTGTGCAAGCACCTACAGCGACATGGGGCCTTGGTTTATACGGTCTCATCCAAGGACCTGCAGTCTCCACGTCCCACAGTGGGATTCGAATAAGCGACATAAGGATTGATTCCTAACTCCCTGACTCTAGAGCAGATGCTCTAATCACTGCGCCACATGGGCGACAACTGCATATGTTAAATTCATACCTGATATACACAAGTATGTGAGAACTGCATTGACATCATCTGATCATAAATTCTATGACATTAAATTAGAAAAGTAACAACTATATTTTGATCAGAAGGCTCTAGTGAAAACTGCATGATTGATATAAACAGCTGACACTATTAAAACTGCAAACAAATGTAAACAAACCTTTAATGCTTTATCCAGGTACACATGTATATATGTAGAGGAAATTCGGAAGAACTTCTTGTGCATACACATGAGTACGGATAGAATTAAATTCTAGTCTCTTGGTATTTGAAAAAACACATATGGTTCTCACAAATCACTGGGTATTGATAAGTAAGAATAATGACTTTTATACGCGTATGCATGCATAGTATACTACCTTACAAGTAGGATCGAACTATAGCACACCTGTATTTTCTCTTCAATTTTAGACATGCTATTAACAGCATTTGACAAACATGCCCTAAAATATTTAACCATTTTGTGCTAGAGGTAATCGAAAAAATAATTGAAATTCTACTTACGAGTGTTTTTGTTCACTAAATCAATGTATGCGGGTTAATCTTAACCATCACAACTACTCCCTTCCACGTGGAAACATGTTTACAAAATCGAGAGGTGCTGTTTTGACACTTTAAAGTGCAATAGCACTTGACAGAATAAGAAACTGCAAACCTCCTTTCACTTTTCAGGTAAAGAAACGTTTGTTTTTCAACTTTTTGCAATGTACAAATTTTATAAATCGAGATAACATAAAGTTTTACCTCTTTTTCCATGTTGAATTTCTCTCTCGATTTTCACCTGTAGCATGTTGGTCTCGCTGAATTCTCGCGAGGAAAGCTGTTCGGACGTTTACGGATTTTGTTCATATTTTATTACGTTTATCTCCGAATTCTTCCGATTTATGCTAATGAGGTTAGGAGGTGTGAAGGACGGTTTGATACTTTATTTTAAGTGTAAGTGTTCATAAATCAAAGTTTGATTTTTTTCTTTCACATTTCTTTAATTTACACATACAATTAATTTGAAATTTTATAATTTTTCCATTTAAATATAATTTATTATTACATATTAAACAGTGGAATACTGTAATTTATTAAGTGAATAAAACTGATACCCTGTCACAGTGTGAAAGGATATCAAAATGATTTATTATACTTTCATGTTAAATACTAAAATCTGATTGGTTTAGACGCAGTTAACAATCTGTTCTGTTACCCTCAGCCTTAGCAACACACGTGACAACGGGTAACACAACGGTAATGCCACATGCGTGAAAATTATGCGCGTACGGTTCACCGTAGAATTCTCAAAACGTCAGTTGCGCGTTTGAAAGAACCGGAATAATCTTGACGTCAATAAAAGCTTGCGTCTGATGTAGCTTACTTGAAAACAACAAACGACAGACGAAACATGCTTGCGAGTGCAGAAATAACGAAACTTTAGATGATAAAGGACTCGTAGAGTATCAAATAAACAATAAAGAGGTCAGTAAATCTTTTTCGAAGTAGCGGGGAGTGTGAAATCTTTCTAAACGTGAACGAAAAGGCGATCGACGATTTGTATTGCTAACATAGCAAATCAAGAAGACATTCAGTATAAAAAAATAATTGGTGCCTGTTTTGGAGGGTAACAGTTGAAAATGACACCCCTCAGAAAACCATTGTCAACCTCCGCTGACGCGTCGGTTGACAAAGGTTTTCCTTGGGGTGTCAATTTCAACTGTTACCCTCCAAAACAGGCGTGAAAGAATATCAGAGATGCAGGAAAATTCTCGACTTTCCTTTTCTTCACCAAGAGTGTTGTAAAAAATACTCCTTAACCTGTTATAAGATAGAAAACGAGGAATTAATAATTAAAACATTCTGTTATAAAATAAAACTGCGAACTTTCCCCAAATACAAATGTACATTGCTGAAATTCATGTTTACGATGTTTTTCATTTAGCTATGACGTCTCAACCGCTCAACTATGACGCAGCCTAAGACTGCATACAAAAAAAGACGTAGGCAAAGGAAAAATCAAAGAAAATGTAATAAACAGAAAATCCAATGTTTTGGAGTTGAATATGGTCATTATGGAATTTATTTTACTTGAGAGACAGGATTCGCACTCGTGAAAATATAAAAAAAATTCTGTCCCACTCGTGAAATAAATTCCACAATATTATTCAACTACAAAAATTTTAATATCCTCTATCTACGTATTAAGATAATATCTGTAGATACACTCTATTTTGCGAATTCTTAATATTTTGCGAATATTTGACGGAGGTATTGCCTCAAAAACAATGATTATGAACTGAGAAATTCATATAAATCGACAAATATATTCATAATATACATGGTATACTTTAAATGATAATATTAGCAAAATTAAATTTAAAAAAATTACAAATTAAAATTGAATTACAAATTAATGTCTCTCACCTCCAGCAAAAGCTGTGCCTATTGCCACAAACAGAATCGGTTTCATGTCTTTCAGAACGAACAGTTTTAACACTGTCATGATTGCTGCTACTACCAATACCAGCAATCCAAGGATGCTCATTGCTCGGACTGCCTTGAGCCAATCTTTTAAAAATAATATCATTGTAATGGTAGACTGTGATGTGCAAAACGCAATAAACAACAATTTCAAATGTTAAATTTTTTATATCAAATCGGTTACTATAGATTTGAAACTTTAAGCTTAAATTTGTATTCATCTGTTTTTAAGGTAGGATTCTTCTCGCAGAAAACTGTGTTTCTTGTATTTAAAAATTAATGAAATTTTCACACAATCAAGAAGACAATATAACAAAGTAATAATATCAGTTATATTAGTTTTGACCGTTTTATATTAGAGTCAAGGTCAGTATTTTCCCTGGATAGGATAAAAATAACTGCATCCAATCATGCGATAGGGTCTTCTATTTCAAAAGATTAAATGTTTTTCTTTTTGCATAAAAAGATATTATTATATAGGGTCTATAAGACGATATTAGCAAATTGACCCAAAAAGTTTAACAAAAATGGATTTTAGCTAATCCGAATTTTCTCTATTTTTAGGATATTTAAGGTAGGATTCTTCTCATATTTCTTGTATTTAAAAGTTAATGAAATTTTCACAGAATCAAGAAGACAATATCAGTAAGTGATTAGTATCAGTGAGATTAAGTTTGACCGTTTTATATTAAAGACAAGGTCAGGTCAAGTTCATTATCTTTTCCCTTGACATAAAGAATAAAAAGATACTGTTTCCAATCCTGTGATGCCTACTTCTACTTCAAAAGTTTAAAGACTGTTCTTTTTGCCTAAATAGATACTGCTATTTTGGGTCTATAGCATGATAGTATCAAAATTTAAAAAATAATTTAACTAAACTGGATATTGGCTAATCCGAAATTTCTCTGTTTTTCTAAATTTTTTAGATTATATTAGTTATTTTCATATGCTTCCTATATTTAACTTTTACTTATTTTCACAGATAATAAAGTAGTCTTATAAATGTACAAAATGATACAAAATAAAAAGGTTTTGATCGTTTAATTAGAGAGAAAAAAATACTTTTTATCGATTTTTGGCCCAAATCTGCATTTTGATTGGAAGCATTTAAAAGCTGACATAGTTTTAGTTTGTTTGAAAAATCATATTTATTTGATATATTTTGAAAGTTTAGTCCCTTATTATTAATTTAACTTACATTTGAAAATTTCTCCAAGTCTTCGATTGTGTAAAAATTATAACTAAATTCATTGTTCTATTATAATTTTGAGAGGCAGAAAAGAGGATATTTTCATATGCCACCATTCCGCCAAAAATATAATCCCTGCTAGTTTTCAAACGCAGTTTACCATTTCTATTTAAAGTTGTACAATTGTGACGAGGAAAGAAAAATATGGTCTTTTAAATCCCTTACACCTTAATATAAAAGACATGTAAGCATATATACTTTGAATGTTTCATCTAGTCAAAAACCAGAGAAGAATTCTACCTTAACTAATTTTTATATGCGCCGTATATTTAAATTTTTCTTATTTTCACATATGGTAAAGAAGTCATATAGAGGTACAAAATGATACAAAAACAAAAAGTTTTGACCGTTTACTAAGAGAGTAAAAGCACTTTCTACTGATTTTTGGCTCATATCTATACTTAGATTGGAGGCTTTTAAAAGCTAACATAGTTATAGTTTATTTGGAAAATCATATTTATTTGATATATTTTAAAACTTTAGTGTATTATTATTAATTTAGCTAACATTTGAAAAAATTTGAAAGTCTTTGAATGTGTAAAAATTATAACTAAATTCGTTGTTCTATAATAAATTTGAGAGGCAGAAAAGAAGATATTTTCATACGCCATTAGTTTTCGAACACAATTTACCATTTCTATTTAAAGTTGTACAATTGTGATGAGGAGAGAAAAATATGGTATTTTAAATCTCTTTCACCTAAATATATGAGACATATAAGCAAATATACATTGAACATTTCATCTACTCTAGTCTACTACTAGAATCCTACCTTAAGAAATTTCTTTAAGATTCAGTCTGACTAGCAAAAAAATAGTACGCTTAATGCATTCAATGTAAAATATATTATTAGGAAAACAGTCATAAACTTTGTAAAGAATGTATCTGTACCGTCATCTGTAACTATCACATCGCTGCATTCTGTATCTCCGGTCAAAATTATTTTAGCACACGTCTTCCACAAACCAGAATTTACTTTGGATATTATTATATCAAACGATATCCAGTAAGGTGACGCTAATCCAATCAGTCGAAAGACAACTGCACATATTGTAAGCACCAGTGCAATAAGCTGAAATTTTGAGGCTTCCATATTTTTGGACCTAAAACAAATTTCACTTGTTATAATGTTTCCTCTATATTATGTAAACTACCTGAAAAAAAATCAATGAGGTCAACATAAGAACAAATATTTTATGAACTAAAGCATAAACATTAAAAATGACTTATTAGTAGCAAGAATAATATATTGCGTGCTTGATAATTTTGCATCGAACCCGTAACCGAATGTTAAGTGAAGGTGAGGGACACTTGATGAAATAATATTATAAATCTAATACCACTGGGTTCGTTTTATTCTTTTTAGCTACAAAAATATTGTCTGTTAGTTGAGACCGTAGAAAAGAGTGCAAAGAATTACACGGTTATTGAATTCTAGATTGATGATTGTATTTCCCATGTAATATTTTTCTAACTAATGAAGACATCAACATTACTCTGTGAAGGACTCGGTCACAGAGAAGTGAGTGTTCTTTATCTTGTAATGTCTGTCGTGAAACAGATCCTCAACTTTTAAGGTCGAATCTGAAAAACCAGAACTTTCAACTAAATATTTCCGTTTCCATTTGTTTTCCCTGTGATAAACACTACGAAAGTGATTCTTGTTAATTTCTCCGTGCTTCCTGTTGCATGTAAATTTCTCTATTGAAATACTACTACTGAAAGGTCAAATGTCAACCTGCATGTATATATCACTGGCGTATAAATACACTAAAGAAAAATAGATGTTTTTTAATTGTTTACTAAGAAATTAGATATGATATATCTTTTAACAAACAAAATAAATAATGAATCATCTTCGGATCAAAAGCAAGTCACTAGCGCAACGCTGTCCACTTTCACCGAGGTCTCGCGAGACCGAGAACCCCACTTCCGTAAACATGGTAAACATCCCATCTGAACCACGTGGAGAAATCAGAATCAGATCTTCACTCCATCATCTGATACAGATATCGTCCCTCAGTCATTACCATCCGACTTCTTAAGCAACTCAACTTCCTCTGCTATTTTAACATCCACACAAATCTGTTTCCTGACCATGCTGACCAACTCCTGTTTTATCAACTGCATTGCATTCAATATGGCGACGGAGAAGTGACATAGGGCCTATACACGTGTTCGTGCTTCCGACTTAAATCTACGTCACATTTATAATTAAAGTTAACAAGATTGCTTTGATCATAATTTAAAATTCTTTTGTTGTTTATTTTGTAAATGTTGACATTTGACTACAGTAACTAAATAATAAATAAATTTGTTTCGTGTTTTTATGGGACTATTCTTTATAGTAAAATTTGACGTCATGGGGCCTCGTGCATTTCAAATCTACTAAATTAGAAGGTATTTCGATTTATTTTAAGAATGATATTTCAAGTAAAAATGGAAATATTAGGAATCACTGTCTAGTTAGGAGAATATGCCAGGGACATCAACAATAGTTATGCAAATTATCCCATGTTTCCCATTATTGTTGATGCCCTGGCATACTCTCCTAACTAGACAGTGATTCCTTAAATGTACCATGGACTTTGCAAAAGTGTAGCGTTTTTTCCTTTAGAAGTGGTGCTCGGAATAAGCTTCCCTTGTCATTGGTCTTTTGTTAATTTCTTAATTGATATTTTGATTGTACACACAAGTAATTCAATGTTGAAATTAAAAAAAGATGCATGTTCTGATTGATATATGTCAAGGTTTTTTTCTATCACAAGTTTCCAAAATCTGATGGAATTCCAATGGTTATTAATTTCGCCTTTTTATTAGCAGTCTTATATTTTGAATTCATATGAAGTAGAATTTTCTTTAATACAATGTCACCTTTTAGATCTTGCATATTCCAAATATCAAAATATTTATATTCGCACTGTAAACGCGACTACGTTCAACAAATGACGTTGTAGACATAAATAACGGTAAATGGTAAAGTTGAATAAAGCTGCCTCGTCCAAAATTTTGAATTTCATGGCCCTAGCGTCAGGGGTTCTGGTGTTAGGGCGGGGCTGTAGTGATTACATGTATGTAGTGAAAATGCATAAATTCTTTACAAATCTTCTTTTCTGCTCCTGGGTATTAAGCCAATGAACTATGTAAATAGTTATGATGAGGAAGGATGTCTTTTTGAGATTTGTGTATTTCATGGCCACTGGGTCAGGGGTTCTGGTGTTAGGGCGGGCTCTAAGATTGTATTGTGAAAATGCATGAATTCTTTGGAAATCTTTTCCTTAGCCCCTTGGTTAAGCCAATGATCTAGGTACATATTTATGATGAAGAAAGGTACCTCTTCCAAAATGGTTCATTTCAGGGCCCCTGGGTTAGGGGTGCCTGGAAGGGATACATAGTCTGAACATAAAGTAATGCTTTGAAATCTGCTCTTTGTTATTAATCAACCATTTATGATGAAATAAAATTTAAAATTCATGATAAAATTTGCAAAATTTTGAAATATGTGGCCCCAGGGTCAGTGGTTCCTATGGGTTAGGGTGCACAACTGGTAGTTATAAAGTTTAAATGCATTTACTCTGATCTACCTCTGGATATTAAGTAACCTAAGTAAGCAAGCTAAGTGTATAGCTATGATAAACAACATGGTGCATCTTTCAAAATTGTGAATTTTATGTCTTTTGGATTAAAACACGAACCAAATTTAATTGTTGGAAGTTGTTACATGATATTCAGGTGACCTATAAGGCCCGTGGGCCTCTTGTATTAATTCTAGTCTATTTAAGGTAGGATTCTTCTCATATTTCTTGTATTTAAAAATTAATGAAATTTCCACAGAATCAAGAAGACGATATCACTAAGTAATGGTATTCGTGAGATTAAATTTGACCGTTTTATATTAGAGACCAGGTCAAGTCAAGCTCATTACCTTTTTTTCCAGGACATAAATAATAAAAAAAATTACTGTTGCCAATTATGCGATCCCTACCTGTATTTCAAAAGATTGAATGTTTTCTTTTTTGCATAAAAAGATACCATAAATGGCCTAAAAGATGATATTACCAAATTGACATAAATAATTCAACTAAAATAAATATATTCTAATCCGAATTTTCTCTACTTTTCTTAATTTTCTTAGGATATGATAGTTATTTTTATATGCTTCCTATATTTAAAATTTTCTCAATTTTACATATGGTAAGGTTGTCAAATGAAGGTATAAAATGATACAAAAACAAAAAAGTTTTGATCGTTTACTAAGAGAGAAAAAATACTTTTTAACGGATTTTTGGCTCAAATCGGTACTTAGATTGGAAGCTTATGAAAGCTAATATATTTCCAGTTTGTTTGAAAAATCATATTTGTTTGATATATTTAGGAACTTTAATCCCTTATTATTACAGTAATTAAACTTACATTTGAAAAGTTCTTCAAATCTTTGATTGTGTAAAAATTAATATAACTTAATTCGTTGTTCTATAATAATTTTGAGATGCAGAAAAGAAGATTTTTTCATACACCACCATTCCGCCAAAATATAGTCCCTGCTAGTTTTCAAACGCGGTTTACCACTTATATTTAATATTGTACAATTGTGATGAGGAAAGAAAAATATGGTCTTTTAAATCTCTTACACCTAAATATATAAGTAAGTGTACTTTGAATATTCTATCTAGCCAAAAACTAGAGTAGAATATCTTTTAAAAAATTATTTTTACAATTGCTTATGTGTGGTATAAAGTCAGAAATATATAAGAATTAACAAAACATCAATTATTTATTTGCATGTACTTTCACTTTCAAGTCTTAACATTTGGACAAAATAAACAGGGAAAACAACTTTCCAGAGGCTATCCAAGTCCAACTTGCCCTTCATTGATAAACATATTTTGTTTCTGCAATGATGGTTTTCACTAAAAGCACGGAATTAATTAGGTGTATTTTTTTGAAAATATATGCATTTTAAGAAGAATTTTTCTCAATTAATATTATTCCAAGTATTTTTTTTAATCAAGGGATACTTTCTATCTGTTAATCAATCAAAAATTTATAAACTGTAAAAGTTTTAACTTTATACCTTACATACTTTTGGGGCTATTGTAAAAATAATTTTTGGACATGTTGACCTTTGATGAAACCTTAAGAAATTAAGAATTGCAAAACATCAATTATTTAATGACATTTGGATGGTATAAAAAGGAAGTACATAGCCATTGAATACTATTTCCATGACTTGATAGCCTTTGGTAAAATATTTGCAGTTTGAAAACAATATTAGAATGTTTGTGGATAGTTATGTCGGGCGGGACAAGAGAGAGACAAGAAGCGGGGATTGTAGCACGTGAATTGGCGGAATCAAAAGCATGTAAATATAAGGAACACTGCTGGTAAAGTGCGAATCGAGAAAATCTTGGTTTCGGACACCCGCTACTATTGGTTTACATCAATGAGACAGTTTATGTCAACTTAACGATCAGAAATGATCGAACGTTTGATTAAGACGTAATTATTAATGTCCTGTATGGTTTCATGCAGTAGAACTGCTTGTTGGTTGAATACAAATACTTAGGGAGCAATCTATTAACTGCTTTAGATTACACCCGTTCAATGTATTTAACTAAATTATTCATATTTGCTGTTGACGTGTTAAAGTCGATTAACGCTACATTATTTGTGTTAAAATTGATATGAGTATAATCTATACATGTATGAATCATTTATGATTTCCTATTTCTTTAATGTTTCACAAGATTAAAACTTTTGATGCAATTTAGAGTTTTGTGATATTGTTGCTGTATGTGCGACTCTTGGCACCTGTAATTGCTACGTTTGGCTTCTGTTCTGATTCATAAGGTGTGACGTTTTATTGCTGTATCATAAATATATTGTTTTCCGAGAAATACGTTTAAATTTAATATCGACACATCAAATAATGCAAATTTCTTGAATAAACCCCCAAAACATATAGCCCCAATTCGAGGATTGGTTGTTTCTATCAAATATTTAAAATGTATTGCATATATAACCCCCCCCCCCCCAAACATAAATTGTTCTATTATGTGAAAAAAATAAAGGATTTAAAAATGCAAAATTCACTATGGT